GACTTGTGACAGACAAGTAGGGGACCTTTCTACTCTTCTGGTGTCTGAAGCAGCACCAGAATTGTCAGAGCCATCAGATCCTCAGCAAAGCACTCAAATGAATGCAACATTCTGCATTTTGCAGGGGATGCCCCAGGAAGTCACTTGTACTTTTGGGCTGAGTCTTATAATCCACATTTCTTTAGAGAGTTTGTCCCTGCCATGCTTCTTGTGTGTTTTCCCTGTTTAAACCTGTTCAGTGTCTGTCTCTTCTGTGTGTTTTCTCCTCCATCCTTGTATTCTCCTCTTCCCCCTGCACTTCTTGCAGCCCTGGCACCTCCTTGCTGCAATGTTGCATCTCAGGGATGGTTTCAAAACATCCTCTTTCCCCTCACCCCCAGCACACTGTTAATGGAGCTTCACTGACAGGGATTTCCTTATGGTGGAAGTCAGAAAGCAACATCAACATCTCTTCGTTGCTCATGTATTTGAGGGTGCAGCTTGCACTAAAACCACACCTAAATATCTGCCTGATTCTGTCTGGGATATTCCAGCTGTAAAGTTGGTGGCTCTGTTGTTTCTAAAGGTGGCATTTCAGATGGAGGAAGCTGATGGAACAAAGAATGGGCAGGTGCCTGGCTCCTCTTGCTGGAACCCTGATGCTCATTTGACCTCTCAGTGAGCTGATTAAGCTGCCTATCCTAGAAAACAGCAAACAGATCTAAAATTCTGGAATTATTTTATTTATTTTTGTTCCCTGCCTAATTTTAAGGAGTTGAATTAACTCACTGGGAGATCAAATGAGCAGAGCTGGTGAAAGGAAGGGGAGAGAAGCACAGGGCTGGGAGGAGATGGGAGAGTAAGGAACAGAGGAAAGGAAGAGGAGCTGCCACTTGAAAGGGAGGTTGCTGTTGAAGATCAATAAACTATTGGGCCTAAGATTAAGCTTTTTCACCCTCCCCTTGTGAAGAGCTCTCCTGAGATTTCTTTTATTTTACAAAAGTTGTTTTGAAATAGTGGAGGCATCTTTTTCTGTCCTTGTTCAAAGTATAAAATAAAAACAATGTTATACCAAATATGGTACTTAGGCTTTTGAAATCTAGTGTTCTGAGATCAGTGGAGGGCTGTTGAAGGAGGGAATTAGAGGCTGGAACATCTCTTTTACAGGGAAAGGCTCAGGGAGCTGGGCCTGTTCAACCTGGAGAAGGGATGACTGAGAGGGCACCTCATTAATGTGTGTGGATATCTAAAGGGGCAGTGGCAAGAGGGGGGACAGGCTCTGCTCCGTGGTGCCCAGAAACAGGACAAGAGGGAATGGGCAGAACTGATGCCCAGGAAGTTCCACCTGAACATGAGGAAGAACTTCTTCCCTCTGCAGTGACAGAACTGGGACAGATTGCCCAGAGAGGCTGTGGAGTCTCCCTCCCTCTCTGGAGCTATTCCAGAACCATCTGCACACAATCCTGTGCTGTGTGCTCTGGGATCCTGCTGGAGCAGGGGGTTGGACCTGGTGACCCACTGTGGTCCCTTCCAGCCTGACCATTCTGTGATTCTGTGAAGGCTGATACTAAAATCTCTTCTTGGCTTCACAAAGGTTCCTGCTGCACTGGCCCATCCTGGGACTGGAGTCTGAGTTTAGTCACTGTTCCTCCTGAGGACCAGCAGCTGCTGTGGCATGAGGCAGCTGCCACCAGACTGTGGGACATTTCCTGATGTGCTCCTGCTGTTTCCATGATGTCACCTGAACATCATGGAACAAAAGAAGAAAGCTTTGTTTCCAGTCAGTAGTGAAGGTGGCTGAAAAAAAAAAAGGGTTAGAGAGAATAAAAGCAGATTATCTGGAGGAAAGATCTGAGGTAGCTAATCACAAAACAATCTACAGCTGAGCAGTAGGAGTACTCAAACACCTGGAACCAAATCTGGTGTTTCAGGAGACCGCCAGGGTTGTGTATCTGCGTAAGCTTTTGTGTGGGGCTCAGCACAGGCAGCCGGGCACTGGCTTTGGGGACCCAGTTCTTGTCTCCTGTGGCTGTTCCTACTGCTGCCTCTTCAGTTATGCCAATGCAGTAGTTCCTGATGTGGTTCACTATAAAAATCAACCAGCATTTGAAAAGAAATAATGTTGGGTGTTTATTTATTGTCTGTTCTGCTACGTCACTCGGGCCTGCAAATATTTGTACTGGCACAGCTGAAGGAGGAGTGAGCTGCAGTGTGCAGGTAAGGTGAACACAAGAGAGCAGGGATGACTTGGATCAACTTTGTTATTGAAAAGTATTCATGTAGTGAAATTTTAACACATTGACTCGGGTATTCTTTGGGTTGATGGTTTTTTTCTACTTCTAAATATTTCAGGCTTTCACATGATCTGGGTAAATGTCTTAAAATGGCTCTGTGAAACAGTTCTGGTGGTTTTGTGCTATTGTTTGTTTAATTTCTGCCTGTTGTGTCTAAAGGCTATTAAGCTGAAAGTCAAGCCCTTGAATTAGGAAATACCAGGATTAAAGCTGCCTTTGGAGGATTGATTTGGTCCTTTGCCATTTGTGTGCGTTGCAGCCTTGGTTACTGTTAAAGTGACAGAGTTAAATTGCACGGTGAGGGACTGCAGGGATGTTTGTGTCTGTGGTGTTTCATGGGATGAATTGAAGTTGTAGGAATGAAGAAGGGAACTGTGGCCAGAAGGATGGGTGACTGCTGGATTCTGCTTTAGTTCTGCAGATTTTACACCACTCTCTGCTGGTTACACTGCACTGCTGGGTTATGTGGGCAGAGGGACACATAGTAGTTACATGGTGTTTACTCTGCCAGTTTGAAAAACACAAGGGCAAAGCAGATTAAAATGAAAGATCTTAAAATATTTCAAAACATTTGACTAATACTCTATTTCCACTGTGTCCTTGAAGTGTGGGTTGTGCAGCAGATTCTGTTGGGTGTCGCATCACCACAGTTAAAGTTTTCTAAGCTCTGTTATCTGCTACCTCCATTTACCTTCTGCAACTTGCATCCCAGAGGAATCACTTGAGTTTGCAAATTCACTTTCTTCCAGGTGAAGGGAAAGATGTTCTCCTGGAGCACTTAAAACTCTGTAATTGGTAATGGCTGCTCAGACCATGAAACTGGACTGGGGCCAGCCACACTCTGCCACTTTAAATTGCAGTGGCATCCACAAAGGAGGAGGGCAATGAACCACCATCCTCACACCCCCACCTCCATCCTCCCAGTGTTCTTCAGTAAAACATAGAAAGCAAAGCAAACCAGATTGCTTTCTCAAATTGAGATTGACTGCACTGCTTTTTATAGATGGAGGTGTGGGGGAATTATGCATTATAGTTATCGAAGGTGAATTAAGGATAAATTAGTGTTTATGAAATGACACTGCAAGGCACTGAAATACTCAGTAAAGACTGATCTGGTGAGGAAACAGCATTCTGATTTTGTTGTTGCCATGTCATTTTGAACTCATTTGGTATTTTTAGGTGTAGAAGTGGTAGCTCAGTCCTTGATATGATCAGTGCCCTGAGACACTGCATGCAGCATCCTTTATGTCATTTCTCAATAAAACCAATTCAGACTTTGATCACTTTTACTGATTAGTTTTAAGATTTACCATCCCCATTTGTTAACTGATTAGTTTTAAGATTTACCATCCCCATTTGTTAACCATGGGGTTGTAGCTTCTCAGTACTGTTTTGTTATTTTGATAAACTTTGCAGTTCTGCTTGTAAGCTGATGAACAGAGAAACCTTTTTGTTGTAGTTGCATATATCATGTACAAATGAAACTAAAAAGTAGTTTCTCAAATCAGCTGTAAAAGTAAGAGAATTGCTTTTAATAGATCCTGGTTTGTTTTACAACCAACATGGAGGTAGTGTAGAGAGTGTCCATGAAAAAAATAAGAGAATTTAATATTGTTGATTTCTCTATGTGTGTTCTTGTGCACAGATATATAAATTGCAACTCCTGCCATTGAATTTATTTGTTTAACTTAAAACCTGGTGTTAAACTCTCATCAGGAGCAGTATAGTGAGTTATCAAGACATATCCAATATGGAATGGGCTGTGTTTTGAAGCACATGGATCATGGAGATTTCTGCACTGCAGCTTAATTTGTTCTTATTGTACTCTTGGATGCAGCCAAGGGTAACTGTTCCTCAGATATATGGGTTGTGGGCATAAAGTGCTCTAATGCTAATGAATGAAGCAGGGATTTCAGTTCTCTGAGTGCTTTTCATCCTGAGCAAAGCAATGCAGGGATACTTCAGTGAAAACTGACATTTCCCAGAAAACCAGATCCTGGTTTTCAAAAATCCCATTTCCCAGAATCCAGTGCAGTTTTAAGTGGCACATACAGTTAGAAGTAGATATTAACAGCACTTATTAAGCATAAGTAAACCTGATGAATTCAGATTACAGACAATAATGCTGTTTCCTTCTCCCTTCCCAGTATTAATGCCCTTTCCATCATCCTATTAAAAGTGACAACAAAACCCCCTAAATTTGTGTAGTCAGCAGGAGGCTGTCAGGGTTGCTTAGCCTCAGAAAGGTGAGTTGCTATCACTAAGCTTTATATACCTGATCCAAGAATCCAGAGTTTATCAATCCAGTTGTCAAGATAGATCTTTATAAAGCTGAAGCAGAGAAAGAGATGATCAAGAGTGAAATGCTTGAACTGTTCCTCCCTGTGGGGAGGTGTATTACAGGAAGAGAACACAGCCCATCCATCCATCCATCCATCCATCCATCCATCCATCCATCCCCCAGTTAGTTAGGTGCAATATCCTTGGTGTAAGATTAGCAATTAAAAGGATTTTTGAAAGTGGGCAGATAAGCTGGTTCTTCCCATGCCTGTGCTTTTTTGGAGCTACCAGTGGTGTTTCATTCCCAAACCTTTCCTCCACACAAGCTGTTTCTTTAATCGCTGTTTGGTGCTGGTTGAGCCAGTTTACAAAGTACAGGAGATGTGTTTGTCTCTAACAGTTCATATAAGGCAACCTACAGCTTTGTTGTTGTTTGTTGTTTTTCAGGGACACCAGAATCATGGAGGGGCTGTTGCATTACATAAATCCAGCACATGCCATTTCCCTGTTGAGCACCCTGAACGAGGAGCGTCTCAAGGGACAGCTGTGTGACGTTGTGCTGATCGTAGGAGACCAGAAATTCCGAGCTCATAAGAATGTTCTGGCTGCCAGCAGTGAATATTTCCAGACTCTGTTCACAAATAAGGAGAATGAGTCTCAGTCAGTGTTTCAGCTTGACTTTTGTGAGCCAGATGCTTTTGATAATGTGTTGAACTACATTTATTCTTCATCCTTGTTCATTGAGAAAGGCAGCCTCGCAGCCGTGCAAGAACTGGGCTACAGCCTTGGAATATCTTTTCTTACAAACATTGTTTCCAAGAGTCCTCAAGCTCCTTTTCCTTCTTGTCCTATGAAAAAAATACTCTACCAAGATGAAGATGAAAGTAGTTCTCAGAAGAGAAGTGTCATTGTCTGTCAGAACAGAATTGAAGCACAAGCAAAAAGCATAAATCAAACACAGCACGACTTAAGCCATACTCCTAAACCTTCACCCTCTGTGGCTGTGAAAGCTGGCAGCAGACCACAGGTAACAAAACCAACTGAAACCCTTCACAACTTATCACTGACTGAAAGGAGGTGGCTGAAAGAAGGCCCTGTGAGCTATACAAAGGTTCATGAAGCTTCTGGAACTGTGGAGGATCAGAGCAGAGGTGCTTTAGTGAAAAGGAACATGGTGCTGCCTCAGATGTCTTTGGTAGAGAAAGAAATGGCATGCGGCGAGCCAGGAAGCAGCGCTCAGCTTCTGAGAGGAAAAGTTGCAGAGATGTCATTGAAAAGACCACGTCCACCAGTCTTGTCTCTGCGTGGGGCAGCAGAATCCACGTTTCTGTTGCGAGAGGCAGGAAAAGGAAACGGTCAAGGGGAAGACAGGAATTTGCTCTACTACTCCAAGTTAGGGCTGGTAATCCCATCTAGTGGGTCAGGCCCAGAAAACCAAAGTATTGACAGAAGTGGGCCCCTTGTAAAAAGTCTCCTTCGAAGGTCACTGTCCATGGACAGCCAGGTTCCTATTTATTCACCTTCTGTTGACCTAAAACCTGCACAGGTATCCTCGTGCTCCTCACCGGGAACTAACGATTCCCAGAAGACATTTAATGTTGCATCCCAAAAGTCATCCTCGAAAGAGTCATCGGAGAAGTCGGCCTTGGATGAGAAGCCACAGGCAATACACCCACATCGCCTTAGGTCTTTCAGTGCCTCTCAGACAACGGATCGGGAGGTGGCTTCCCCTCTCTCGGAGGTGAGGATCAAAACTGAGCCCAGCAGTCCCCTCTCAGACCCTGCTGACATCATCCGAGTCACGGTGGGTGATGCTGCAGCATCGGCAAACAAAGACTTTGCTTTTAAAACTGAGGAAGATCGTAAGGAACCGAGCAGACTTCCAGCCAAAAGGAGGTTCCAGGATGATAGGAGGCCACCGTTCAAGAAGCTGAAGGCGGATGAGCAGGGTTCTCCTGGCTCAGAAGAGAACTTTGAGGAAGGCTCGAGCCCCACGCACCTTGATGCTGATTTCCCTGATTCTGATGTCAGCAAAGATGAATACAGCGAGATGGAAGAAGCAAGACCAAATAAAAAATTTAAATGTAAACACTGCCTTAAAATTTTCAGATCAACAGCAGGTCTTCATCGCCATGTTAACATGTATCACAATCCAGAGAAGCCCTATGCTTGTGACATCTGCCACAAGAGGTTCCACACCAATTTCAAAGTGTGGACGCACTGCCAGACCCAGCATGGAATTGTGAAGAATCCCTCACCAGCTTCCAGTTCACACGCCCTTTTGGATGAAAAATTCCAAAGAAAACTGATCGATATAGTGAGGGAGAGAGAAATCAAAAAAGCTCTGATTGTGAAACTGAGACGTGGCAAGCAGAGCTTTCAGGGCCAGTCAGCTTCCCAAGCACAACAAGTCATCAAAAGGAATTTAAGGTCGAGAACCAAAGGAGCCTATATTTGTACCTACTGTGGGAAAGCTTATCGTTTCCTCTCCCAGTTCAAACAGCACATAAAAATGCACCCTGGGGAGAAACCCATTGGAGGGAATAAGGCTCCTAAGCAGAAAGATCACATTCATATTGAAAACCCCGTGGAAAACAAGGAGGTTTATCAGTGCCGTCTCTGCAATGCCAAGCTCTCCTCACTGATTGAACAGGGAAACCACGAGCGACTCTGTAGGAACGCCACTGTCTGTCCTTACTGCAGCCTTAGGTTTTCTTCTCCAGAGCTGAAGCACGAGCATGAGAGCAAGTGTGAGTACAAGAAGCTGACTTGCCTTGAGTGCATGCGCACCTTCAAATCATCCTTCAGCATCTGGCGCCATCAGGTTGAAGTTCACAATCAGAACACAATGGCTCCATCAGAGAACTTCTCTTTGCCCCTCATGGATCACAATGGAGAGGTGACCAGTTCCTCTCGGCTGCCTCCGCAGTCGGAATCCAATAAAATGAACAATTTTGTTGCTGCAAAGGAGGACGGCGTGTTCAGTGATTCGTCAGAACAAATCAATTTTGATTCTGAAGACTCTTCATGCCTGCCTGAAGACTTAAGTGTTTCCAAGCAGTTTAAAATCCAGATCAAAGAAGAGCCTGCAGATGACATAGAGGACGAGGTCACCGAAACGGGCAGGGAACCCAAGGACGTAGTCTCCAAGAAAGATCCCAGTTTGTGGCCCTGTGAGAAGTGTGGGAAGATTTTCACCTTGCGCAAGCAGCTGGAGCGGCACCAGGAGCTCCTGTGCTCGGTGAAGCCCTTCATCTGCCACGTGTGCAACAAGGCCTTCCGAACCAATTTCCGCCTCTGGAGCCACTTCCAGTCTCACATGTCCCAGGCTGCAGAGGAGTCCACGAATAAAGAGCCTGAGATATGTCCACCAGCCAATTCCCCATCACCCCCACCCTTACCCCCACCCCCTCCTCTCCCCAAAATCCAGCCCCTGGAGCCCGACAGCCCCACGGGCCTGCCGGAGAGCTCGGGCACTGCTGAGAAGCTGTTCGTGCCGCAGGAGTCGGACACGCTCTTCTACCACGCGCCGCCGCTCTCGGCCATCACCTTCAAGAGACAGTACATGTGCAAACTCTGCCACAGGACTTTCAAAACAGCTTTCAGCCTCTGGAGCCACGAACAGACACACAATTAGCTTTAAGAGAGGCCTTGCAGGGCTGGTTTGGGGGGGCTGTGTTCAGGATCTCAGAGCCCTGCCACATAGACTACGAATTTAAGAGGATCAAAAGGATGATGGTGATGATGGAAAATCTGGAATTTGTGATGCTGCTTGGATTTGAAGATTAGGGAAAATTATAACTTGGTTAGTAGGTAGAAAGCAGAGTAATTTAAAATATTGTGGTCTGGGATCTAATAGTAAGAGAATAAATTTTATTTTATTTCATTTGACACTGAAATACAATTGCATCTGGATTGTATGCATGGATCTTCATCCCGTGATGTTGGTGTGTGCGTGTGTATTATATATAAAGTTACATATTAAATGAAAGAGAAACAACAATTTGGATTCTAACTGTGAGTGTGAAGGTTCTACTTATGGTAGTGAAATACTGTAACCAACGTCATAATTTGTTTTTCCAAAAGAAACCCACACACACAAGCTCCATGTAAGTGGTTGCCATGCACTGGCAGTTTGGGAGGAAGTGGATGGAGTGTCTTGCTGGATTGACTTAGGTCTTAGAAACCTTTAGCAATAACAAATAAACCTCAAGTTTGAGTAATCTTGATGTTATTGGATATGAATGTTTGCTATTTTAAGGGAACATAGAATTGTTTTGTTGTTGTATGGAACTTGTGCAAATTAAAATAGAATCTAAAGTCAGCAATATTATTAAGATTTTATATAAGAAGTGGCAGCAAGCCTGCTTTCAGCCATTTAATTATAACTTTCTAAGGAAAATTGAGAGAGGGGGTACTTTGCTTTATATAATGTCCCAAAGACTAATTTCCTACAGATACTTGGGTAGCTGAAGTCATTGTGTAACAGCCATCATAATGCAAATGGTACTGTTTATAACATGAACTGAGGTTGAATGGATGTCAGACCAGTTTCATAGTTTTGTTTCCACTATTTGTACAACTGTTTGTAATTTTAACTACAAAGGAATGTATAACTATTAAATCATCAAGAGAGAGCTCGTTAAGGGACAGAAGATGAGTTGTGTTTCTAAACACAAGTAATAAGCTCAGCCATGAAATACAAAGATATGTTTTAACAAAACCTAAAAATGTAAATATTTATATAGACACCTGTATAAATGAAGAAGTATGTATTTGAAATTTGTATTAAGCGTACATATCCAGCTCAAAGCAGAGGAGAAAATCACACTACAATCACTGCATTTTATGGATACAATGCATATAGAGTAGTTCTTTCTGCTGCTTTACTCATATGTGACTGTGTTGCAATTTTCCAATATGTTGAAAATGGTGGTAATAATGGGCTGCAGATATTCTGTGTGCTTCCATTATTTTACCTCAAATGGCAACTGGAGCATTTAGTGTAAGTAGGATCACACATATTTACCAGGAGCTATAGTAAGGGTCCAGTTTTTTCTGTAAGTCAAGGAAATATTTATCCAGAAGTAGGAGGTGAACCAACAGGGAGAAATTATTTTGCTAGAATTTTAACTAGTGGAGGGGTGGTGGGTTGGAGTGAACATAAATGATGCAAACTGTGTTTATGATCCTGACCAACGTTCCCCCTGCAGGGCTGGGAGAAGGGGGATGTGATTCCAGCCTGCTGAGTCAGAGCCCAGTCTGTGTCCACTGAAAGCAGCAGGAGTTTGGTCACCATTTCAGGGGGAGCAGGAGTGAGGCTTGAATTCCCTGTGTAACCATGTGTGTTGTTTCAGTATCCCAAGTTCAAAAGCTAAAATTGCAAGCTGATGCTGAGATTCAGCAAAATCAAGCACAAGTGTAACTCCTAAGAATCTGAGGATGGGCACCCTTAGGCGCACACCAGATTTTTCTCAGTGAAAGCCAAGTGTGCCACCATTTTTTTTTTCCCAACAGATATTCAACTATTTTTCCTGTAAGTGAAGTTTGAAAGAATCAGCTCAGGATGGACCCCTGATTTTTTTCAGCTACCAGAAAAAATGCAATGTTATTTTCAAGCCTCTTCTGCTTCATTTTTCTTATGATCTAAAATTGCTACTAGACACCTCTGAAAGTAACATGTTGTTCTTTTTTGCCTCTTTCAGGCAAACTGTGGCTGAGTTTGATTAGGCTAATTTGCTTGAGTATCAGTTAAACTCTTTCAGTGCATTGCAGTTGAAACAAGGTACTTGCTTAATAGTGACATTTCCAGTTACTGACCTTTTTATTCCACCTAATAAAACTATAAATTCCTTTCTTACCAGAAACGATTTCAGAATAAAATGGTTATTGCACTTAAAGCTGGTTTTAAAAATCAGAAAAACATAAAGCCTTTCTAAGTACCCTTTATATATGTTTTAAAAAAATCTGTGTATTAAATATGAACGTGTTTTTGTAGAATGGTTCCTAAGTTTTCCCCAGTGATTCTTCTGCACAACAGCCTGAAAGTTGAGCTACAGCCTTTTAAAATTCAGTGTGCTTTCTGAAGGAAGGTGGCAACCAGCTCAGCTGGGTCACAGCCACCTCACTTCCAGCTGGGATTCTGCTCTGTGCTATGGTGATAAATTCTACACACTTTAAATCAAAACCTCGTGCAACATCTTTGAAGAAACCCTTAACCTTTTCCTAGTGTACTAGATATTATAAAGAATCCATTAAATATTTTTGGTCTAAGTAGCCTCCTAAGTTTTTCTTCAGTTGCTTTGGTTTTGAGGGGGTTTTTAAAGTTTTGTTTCCCACTTTGAGCGTGTTCTGTGTGACCTTTTTTTTTTTTTTTTTTTTTTTTTTACATTTGGTTCCTGGTGTTTAGTAAAGGAATTCAGGATCTCTAAAATTTAAATATGAGATGTTTATATAGCAGTTCTGGTTTTCTATTAGCTTTTATACAGTATCTTAAAAAGCCCTTGATAGAAGTGTTTATTTTGGAGGATATGGAATAAATATGCTTCCACTTATATAACTTTAATATATGTCTTAAAATTTAAATTATGGGAAAAAATGTTAGTTGCTTGTTTATAAATAAAGGTCTTTTGAAGAGTGTCTAGTTTGGCCACAGCCAAAATAAAAGGCAAATTTATTGATGCAAAAGCCTGTTTTCATCATATTTTGTTTAATTTTATAGCTGTGTATTGAAGTGACAAAAAGTTAGAGGTCTTGTTAAATATAAAAAAGTGTTTTGCTTTTTTTTCTAAAATTTGTGACAGGAACGTGCAGATGTTTTAATATATAGATTAGAATCTATAATTCTGTCCTTTTTTTGCTATTTTTATAACCTATCAGATAAATCTCAGAGAACTATCCTGCTTCAGTGGGAGTGGAAACTAGTGTTGCATTTCAGGGGAGCAGTGTTGAGCCATGAAATGTATTTTGGTTTGGGACTTTTTTTTCCTTTCAGGCACTGTGTTGGCAAAGCCTCTAAGCCTATCTTCAGTCCATTAAGATCAGTCTTAGTTTTTTTTTTTTCTTAAATAGATCTGTGCAAGTTCTTTGCTGAACTGGGACCATGACCAACCTTGAAAGAGAGCAATGGCAGCAAAACACAGGAACCAGTGACAGAGCTGTCTCTGGTTTTGGGTTTTTGGTGAGGCAGAGTGAAACACCCCTGGCAGGTGATGGGGGATATAACCTGATGGAGAGGGTGAGCCCAGAGCTGGTCTGGGCTGTTCCAAAAATGAGATGCTGCATTATCTGTGACCCCAAGCAGCTCTAAGAGGCAAGGCAGGAACATCCAGGAGGTTTTGTTGCCTGATTTTCATTTTCCCCAAGTTGGACACGTGGGTTTGCTCCAGAGCTCTGCGTGCTCTCTGTTGCTGTTCCAAGCTTCCAGTGTTAAATTGAGCTCCTCCCATGGGATAAGGACAGACTATGCCTAATTTCTTGGCTCTGACAGTGAGGCTGCAAATATCTGGCATGAGCCTGTAATCTGGCATGTGCCTATACTGTTCAATAAAATTGTTTACATTTTCCTACCAGATTTAGGTAAAAATCAAAAGAAGCTTAGGGGGTTGGTTTTTGTTGGAGTTTTTTTTTATCTGTTTGTTTTGGTTGGGGGGTTTTTTAGTGTTGCTGTTATTGAATCAGTGTTAAAATATTTTTTTTTCTGTTGTTGCTGAACACAGCGTGATAGTATTTTTAATGTTATTGATTCTTGTTTATTTAAAATGACTTGTGAAAAACTGTACTGTAACTGCTCTATGAAAAGGGACACTATCAAGAGAAGGGCTGGATATAGAAAATTAACATACTTGTATTAGAAATACTTTATATTAATAAATAATATTGAAGAATTTAAAAACAAATTGAGTCATAACACGTGAGCTGCTTGGGCTTGAAAAACCTATTTTGGGCAGCCTCAGTTGTTGTGAGGATGTCTGAAAACTGTAACTGAATTCTGTAGGTTGAGCTGATTTTTCATGTTGCTTTTCCTATCACTATTCCAGAATAAAGGACTCAATCCTTTTTTTTCCTTTTCCAGACTCTCAGTCATTATCTTTTAAAGACACAAGCTTCCCACTATTGCAGCAGCAGCTTTAATTCAGATATGTACAGAAAAATCAGAACAAACCCTCTTTTTCAGCGTTAAGTGCAAAATACACATAAAGTACATCTTTTGAGGCTTATTCTTGACAGTGTCTCTTTTTAAAAAGCAGGAAAATGGGATCACTTTAAGTGCTTGGGTACAGGGGAATAGTTTCCTACTAGAAATTGGAATTATCCAATATATTTTCTAGAGAGTTTTCCGGTTAGTTACACAAAATCACTTGTCATTTTAAAGGATTATAGAAGTAAGACAAGCAACTCTGGATTTATAATCCTGTATACCTTATACATTCTATATCTGTTCAATACACCAGGATGGGTTTTTACTTTTTTTAGGACTGAGACTTAATAGCTTAAGGCAATTTTTTTCTTTAATGTAATGTAAATCCATTGCTGCTTTGTACAACTTTTTCTACTGTGTGTTTTCTTTACTTAGATCTTGACTAAGAAATGTTGACGTCCAATAAACTTACACTTTGTTTCTTTTGAGTCACTGTGTCTTCTACTGGAATCTCTTGGCAGAGGGTGTTGTTATTTTACAAACCACTGTGTCTGCAGGGTAGGAAGTGAGTTTGTAAGAGAGCATCTTTTGTTCGGTTTGTTGGATGTAAGTCTACTTGTACATTACTAAAATAATGGGGAGTTGTTTGTTTTAGTAAATGCCTCACTGAACCTTTTACTGGAAGATACAGGAAAACCAACTGCTCCAGACAATCCCTTAAAAACTTGAGCACAGCCCAAATCCTGCTTCATGTGCAATCAGTGATTTGTGGGAGGAAGTGTCTCCATCTAAAACTGGACTGAGCCAGATGTTTGAGAAGACACAGCAATGTTTCTGATTTTGCAGCACTCTCATCCAAAGCAGTTTTGCTGCATAGATGTCCCTCTTCAAAACCCCCTGTGTGGTGTTCACAGGGGTCCCAGGAAGAGGGAAGAGACGAGGATTTGACTCCATGTTTCAGAAAGCTGATTTATTATTTTATGAATACATTATTTTAATATATTATATTAAAATGATATATTAAAACTATACTAAAAGAATAGAAGAAAGGATTTCATCAGAAGGCTAGCAAGCAAGAAGAAGAAAGGAATGACAACAAAAGCTTGTGTCTGAAAGTCTGAGACAGCTGGACTGTGATTGGCCATTAATTAAACCACATGAGACCAATCACTGATCCACCTGCATTCCACAGCAGCAGATAATCATTGTTTACATTTTGTCTCTCAGGCCTCTCAGGAGAAGAAGTCCTAAGGAAAGGATTTTTCAGAAAATACCATGGCTACAAAACCCCCTGTGTGGGAATGTAGTATGTGGATTCCCATAAAGCAGAGAATGAGCTTTTTATCTTTTGGGAATGGGGTTTACTCAGTTCCTGTCTTCACACTAGGTGTGACCTGTCTTTGAGAACACTTAGGCCAGTTTTCTCAACTTCTTGGACTCCACATTTGCTGTTTTTTGCAGTTTTTTCCACATTACCCCTGACAAGTTTCACCCACATTTAACAGAGGGGACAGTGTCTCAAGAATTAATGTCCCACGAGTTTTGTGCAAATCCTTGCCTGGGTGTGGAGGAATGGTGTCAGTGGGACACCACAAATCCAGTGGGAAGGGTAAGGTTTGCACAGAGGATGTGCTGAGCACTCACCTGCACTTTTTACCCCAGCACTTGTCACTGTGTCTGTGATCTCTGAGGGAGCAGGGCAGTGGCTCAGGTGGAACACAGGGCAGAGCTGCAGGACCAGCTCTGCCAAAGGGTTGGATCAGGGGTTAAAAGGGCACTCTGAGCTCAGGAGGATTTGGGCCTCTCCTTGAGAATGGGGACAAAGGGCTCGTGGTCTGTCCCTCTGTGGGGTATCCCTGCCCCTCACAGCTTAGGGGAGCTGTGGAAAAGGCAAAGAGAGGGTGGAGAGCTGCTCTCTGACCCACTCACAGTCTTAAACCCCCAAAGATGTGGCTCTCTCTTTCTCCTTTTAGATCAGAACAACTCCAGCTCTTCCTGCATCCAGGTAATATTGACACACAGTCCTCTCCATCTCTGTTTCAGCACAGACTGACCTCTGCTAGAATGGTTCACAGAAAATGCTCCAGAGAGAACAAAAAGCCTGTGTTTGACATAAAACTCAAGAAACAAATCAAAATTATTAAAAGTGACTGATAATGCCATGAGCATTGCACCTGTTTTTGTGGTTATTTTTGTTCCAATTCCAGCTGTCCCCTTCTAAGACAGTTGGTGTGCAAACAGATCCAGCAATGTTTACTTTTCCATTCATAGGATACTTCCATCCATCATTCAATATACAAACACAGGAGCATCCTTACTATTAGACCAACAGGGATAATATTTCTGTTTCCAGTCCTGAAATACTCTGGCAATAAAAAATTTCAAGGTGTTGGCTGTAATGAAGCAACATACACAACTTTTATTTCCCTTCCATTTTGCATGTGTTGAAAGAGTACATTGAAAGTCAGTTTCTGCTGACAAATTTGCTTTAAATTGATAACCCTTAACAATTTATTTGTTTTGTCAGTCCAGGATCTGGGATGGATTGAGCTCTTCAGTGTCATGATTGTAGTCAGCAGCTTGAGCTGATAGTTGAGGGTTCAGGCTCTCACCCAGCCACGTGAATCTCCCCAGTGAAGTCCACTGGTGTCAAAATCCTTCTGGGATTACTGAAATCCAGGGATGCTTCTCGCGGAAGGAAAAAACCATGCTGGGGTTTGCAGGCTGAAGGAACAAAGGACAATGAGGCACAAGAAGAGGTCAGATAAAGTCTCGTGACAACCGCAGCAGAGTGTGAGATACAGCGGAGAGCACGCTGTGACCCTGCCAAAAAGAACAGCAAGAAAAACACCAGTCTCTATTTTAAGGTGTCACTTGTGATTAATATGGCTCTTTTTGGGTCCCATTTATTCCCTTCTTCCCTAATGAATGAGGTGTTCCTGAGGTGTGACACCTCTAACGCTTTTTGGCTGACAGAAACTGTATTTATTACTCTTGTCATCCATTAATTTATCCTATAAAGTATATGAAAGTTTATGGGAAAAAACCTACCCGAAAGATATTAAATATTTCCTCTACAGTCTTGCACCAGGGGAAGTTTTGGTGCTCTTGGAACTGTCTGAAGACTGCAGATCCTGAGGGCTTCCCCAGGTGTGACAGCTACAGCTGTGCGATATTTGCTGCTGCTGCTTCTTTACTCATCAATCATCTGAGCAGCCAAATGCCACAAAAAGAAAACTTTGCCTTGTTAGCTCACATTCAGGTTATTTGTTTCAGGAGAAATTTGACAGAGGTCTGTAAAGGCATGTAAACAAATTTTTCAAAAGCATGAGGGAAAAAACTGTAAAAATACCAAATTCTAAGTCTGGAGGAGATTCACAGATACTAAAATGACATCTGAAATTGGGTGTATTTTACCAAATATTTACTACAATGCTTAAGAGAGGGAGAATCACATAGAATCTTTGTTCTATGGAGATGATCCTATAATCTATTCTGTGCCTCTAATGCTGTGTGCAGGCATCAAGGAGGAGACAGAAACAAAAGACTGCACCATCACACTCAAAGCATCACAGTGAAGGTGAAGCCCTCTCTCCGTATATGCAAAGGTCCTTGGATTTTCTTACCTGAACTGGAGCATTTTCACTGTTCCTCTGGAGGAAGGCATTATTAGGAATATAGGAAGCCTGTTGGTTTCCTACAAAATTCCTTTTTGTGCTGCTGTTCTCAGTCTAAAACGTGAAGATGTCTTTTGCTACTTACCAAGTCCTTTCTGATGTGCCACATTCCCAAAGCCAGCTGGTCTCAGCGTCCTCAGGCATTTGTCTGAGGAGCTCACGGGTGCTTGTCCTGCCCGGGAGAGGCGCTCACTCCTGGCGAGTCCCAGCATCAGCACCTCTGGGGATCCTGGCGCTCTCTG